GACCAACGCGCCAACTACTTTTCAGCGTTGTATGAATGACCTGTTTAGACCGTGGTTAGATAAATTTGTGGTAGTCTACTTAGATGATATCCTAGTCTTTAGTAAGACCCTCCAGGAGCACCAGGGACATCTAAAGCTAGTCTTGGAGAAGCTTAGAGAGGCTAACTTCAAGATCAATGCGAAGAAGTGCGAGTGGGCCAAGACGCAAGTCTTGTACTTGGGCCACGTGTTGGATGGAGATGGCATTAAGCCAGAGGACAGCAAGATAGCGGCGATTAGAGATTGGCCGACGCCCCGCACGTTGACAGAATTGCGGTCGTTCCTAGGCTTAGCTAACTACTACAGGAAGTTTGTGAGGAACTTCTCCACTATCGCCGCTCCGCAAGTTGTTGAAGAAAGAGACAATTTGGCAATGGGATAAAGACTGTACGTCTGCGCTCAAAAAATTAAAGCGCGCGCTAATAGAGTATCCTGTCCTCAAGGTTGCAGATCCGTCCTTGCCATTTGTCGTCACCACAGACGCGAGTCAGTATGGGATAGGCGTCGTGTTGCAACAAGATGACGACAATGGCTATAGACCCGTAGAGTTCATGTCCGCGAGGATGCCTTGTGAGAAAATCGCTACCTCCACGTACGAGAGAGAACTCTACGCTCTCAGGCAGGCTTTAGACCATTGGAAGCGCTACCTGCTTGGGAGGCACTTCAAAGTCTATTCGGACCATGAAACACTTAGATGGTTGAAGACCCAGGCCAAGATGACACCTAAGTTGACCAGGTGGGCCGCAGAGATAGACCAATTCGACTTTGAGCTCAAGCCGGTGAAGGGCAAGTACAATGTAGTGGCGGATGCTCTAAGTAGGGGATCAGACTACTTTGGAGCCGTAGTACATTATCTGGATATCGGGAGAGATCTGCAGGAAAAAGAAACAAGCGTATACGCAGGACCCTATCTATAGCGACCTCTAAAGAGAGTTAGAGAGGCCCTAGAGACCGAACCAGATTACCGCACTACAGACGGGTTGCTGTTTGAGAAGACTAATGTGTTTGACCGCCTGTGCATTCCCAATAGCGAAGAGATTCGTAGTCTGATTCTAGGGGAATGTCACGATACTGAGGGACACTTCGGTTGGCAAAAGACGTTAGCCAATCTGATGCGTGCGTACACATGGCCAGGGATGAAGAACGACTGCATAGAGTATGTCCGCAGTTGTAAAGTATGCCAGCGAAACAAATCTACTATGCGCGCTCCCCTAGGTCTTCTCAGACCCTTGCCTATTCCGGATCAGCCGGGAGACTCTGTGTCCATAGACTTCATGGACACGCAAGTCAAGAGCAGACATGGTAAGAGCCAGGTCATGGTCATAGTCGACCGTTTTAGTAAGTATGCAGTTTTTGTTCCCTTGCCTGCAGAGGCCCGTACAGATTTAGTAATACAGAAGTTCTTTGACTTTTGGGTTAGTGAGAATGGAATCCCACTGTCAATAGTTAGTGATAGAGATAGTCGTTTCACCAGCCAGAACTGGCAAGAACTCATAAGAGTCTACGGATCTAAGTTGTTAATGTCGTCCGGCCGTCACCCAGAGACTAACGGTCAGACAGAACAGATGAACAAGATCCTACAGCAAGTTCTGCGCATGTATATTAGACCAGATCAGATCAACTGGGATGAGATGTTGCCCAAGGTCGCTAGTGCATACAACAACAGCGTGCACCTATCCTCCTGCCGCACTCCCAAGGAGTTGCACAAGTCCTTTAGACCGCGCAGACCGTTCGAAGGACTGAACCGGGATCAGATTCACAGATTACCGCCCGGCACCAGGGAGTTTGTGATACAGCACGAGAAAGAACTAGCAACTGTTGTTGAAAACCTCAGGAAGGCCCAGCATAAGATGATAGAACAAGCGAATAAGCACGGTCGCCCATCGCAGTTTCAGGTAGGCGACTTAGTCTGGGTCAAGGCTAAAGAGTTTGCACCTGAGGAAAACATCTCGCAGAAGTTGCTGCCCGCATATAGAGGACCATGGCCAGTTCTAGAAGTCAAGGGCGGAGAGGATGGACCGTCCTATAGCATTGAGATTCCAGCACACCTCCACACATACCCTGTGTTTCATGCTTCAAAGCTGCTGCCGTGTGTCACAAGTCAACAGTTCCCTTCGAGAAGATCCATGATCCCCCCGGATATGGATGGAAGTTATGACATTGACGGCATTGTAGATGAGGACGTGTTCAGAACAGGAGGTAGAGGTCGTCCCCAGAAACAGTATAAGGTCCGGTTTGCCTATCAGGAACCCGAAGACGACCGCTGGTTCACGAAAACAGAACTTCTAGAGACCGCTCCCGACATAGTTAGAGCCTATGAGCGTGCCAAGAAAGGTAAAGGTCCCGCCTTGAACTGAAATATTCTCGGAGGACCTCGAGATTAGGACGGCGGGAGTGAAACGGTTTTCACCTTTTAGCAGTAGTGGATGCAGTACCCAGGGTTCGATCCCTAGACCTCACCCTACCCATGTACAGTATCTGTGTAAACCCCGAGAGTTGAACCTGTGACCTACGTATTCATAGACACTTGGTAGATCTGTCGTAGGTCCATAAGCAGCAGGGGTTCGATCTGTAGGTCTATAGCGTAGAAGTCTTAGTGAGTTCCGGAAGCTTAGCTGTAGACCTTCTAGAAGGTTGGCAAGTGGGCAAGTGGCGAGGCAAGTGGTGGACTAACCTGCAGTGCAACAGCAGTACGACGTCGGTAGGATAGCGGYGAGTCCACAGTCAGTCAGCGGGAGGTCCAGTCAGTCCCAGTCCGGTCCAGCAAGTACCATGGGGGGGACTGTAAGCACC